CCACTTACAGTATGTCTTTTTACTGTTGTTTCATTGATGGTTCTGAAGACACCCAATGGGTTGCCAAAACTCTTGAGGATTTTGAGCAATGAATACTTCTTTGTCTTCACTAAAATTGTAATTTAAAAAACTTAAAGAGAATGTTCTTTTATTTTTAGATTTTACATTTTTATTAGCCTGATTAAGATATTCCTTTGAGACGGGGAATACATCTAGTTGCTCCTCTCAGTGTAAATCCCTAATCAGCAAGTTATTTTTTCCCCAATACGGGGTTACTACTCTCCACATGTAATATTTTGCTTCTACATGCCTTTATCACACTTTGAACCAAGCTGGGTTTTCAATTAACAGCAGTGCTGCTTGTAATCAAAGCACAGCAGTTTACGGTCCATTGCTTAATGCAGCCTGTTAACCTGACAATTTGTCTAGATTTAGACACAACCAGTCTTTCAATTATCTGTTTCACCTGTCCTCCACCTTTTCTATATACTCTGATAAACATACTGTATTCAAGATACTTGTAAAGAGAGTTGATTCATAAACACTTGAATCACAGAGCAAAAAAGTGTAAGAACACAAATTTGTGTAAAGTGGAGCATAAAGAATGGCAGTAATATGAACAAGGGCTCTGACATCATTGATATACACCACAATGCACATCACTTGCTCTTAAGATAGGGGGTATTTAACACTAATTTGATGGAAAGTTCCAATCCTGCATGTTTTAAAGGCAATCACAAAATTACTAGTTTTTAATTACCTGAAACTATTTATCTATAATCAACAAGGCAGGTGATTGTTTCAAATAAATGACAGAGATCATTTGGAATGCAAATCTGCAAGATTACCTACACAATATGTTAGACTGGGGATCTTCAGGATTAGGGTTGTATATGAGTTCCAAACATGGCTTCATTGTGGCCTTCTGTTTGACAGAGAATGTTTGTGCCAACCAACAGAAAGATGTCTTAAAAGCTCTGAATTAATCAAGTCTACACTAAAAATATATTTAAGGCAAGGAGCATTCAAAGCTGTCACCACAAAGGCGAGGGATCTAAAATCGTTTTAGGTGAATATTCTTAATTACAACACCTTCTAAGCTAAAGATAATGTATGGTACTTAGCACCTACTGCAACAAGAAATTACAACATTAATTTCTGAGAAAGAGCAAAGCTTTGTTCTTTCTTACATTGGGGCTTAACGCTTGTGCCTTGATTCAGAGAATGAACTCTTGACTTCCATTAAACAATAAGTTCAACATCAATTTGCTGTTTCTTACCTCCCGCTTACACTGTGTTCAGACTGTGAAAAGAAGGGAAAACTGTCTTCTAAAATTCCCTTTAATCTCCATGACGCCTGTGGGCTTGAGAATCTAAACTTGGATTCAAATCCGCAGAGACAATGTGAGATTTTAGAGGAGCACCATTCTACCTTTGATATGTAAATACAAATGATGTATAAAAATAATTTAAAAAAACTTTGGGAAGAAACAAAGGGAGCTTCTCATGATTATTAGAATACAGAGAGAATTTTAAACCTCTAGCCTGATCTTTGTATCATGTTTGGATTCAGCTGAAATAGAATAAAGGGAGCGAGAAAAAATGTCAGGCTGGTTTTCAAAGTTATTTGCCAAAAAAATGTCTCATGTATTTGAAAAAAAATAATGTTATCTTCTCACGTGACATACTAACATAGTGAAAAAATTAAGAAAGTATGTGGACTGGGCCTTTATCCCCACAACAGTATCTGGTGCAAGAAAAACTATAACAAATTCTAAAGCACTGCCTTAAAATAACAGCATAAGAACAAGCATGTGTTCAGCTGTTCTGCATTTGTTTCTGCTGTTAAACTTTACTTTTTGAATTCATTGTCTTTGTTTCACAGAATAGTTAAATACATATTTAGTCTATTTTAATTAAATGATAATGTTTGTCACTGCAGGCTTTGCCATCTGGTAGGGTCCCACCACGGGAATTCTGCTTCTGTACCAAAGGGTTCATTAACACATACACACATATACCAGATATGGAGTCTGCTGATGTTTACTGCCCTAGATAGATGTGTCTACTGTCACTGTCCCAGAAAACGGTAAACTAAAGCATCAATACTATTAACTTAAAGTATCAGTACTATTAATATTTCAATGATATTAACAAGACAGTAATGCTAAATTTAAGTCTGTTACTAATATATTCAAATTAATAAGTGGAAAGACTACTGTATGCCCAAACAATGGGAGGAATTGAAGGAAGACTGCCTTAATATGAACAAACAAGGAAGTATTTTACAGCAAACAGCACTTTTACACTTGAAATCTTCCAAGGCCTGTGTTTTTCATTTTGTTGGTCCATTGAGGTATATCAGCAGTGAGTGTCCTCTGGTTTTTCAACACTGTTCATCACCTTTACATGGAGTGGAAGGATACTGCCAGAATTCATCCCCTGATACTCTGACTTCCTAATCACTTGCTTTAGAGATGGGTAATCTTGTTCATTCTCCACTTGCAAACCTCTCAGGCCATTACACCTTAAACACATAATTATGCACAATAATTATTTGTAATAATGAGGTATTGCCACAAAATGGGTGTGTTTTGAGTACTGTCACCCAAGAAAGTAATAAAACACACCATCCAAATTGTACAGTTAGTATTGCACACTGATTATATTATTTAACTGTATGAGATTATAAGATTTACTGTACAAATTTAATAAGATTTACAAAAAAAAAACAACAATTTGCTGGGATGTTTTAATTAAACTGTATAGAATGATCTCCCTCTCCCCCAAAAAGTTAATATTTCAAATAAAACAGAAGAACTAAAGTAAAAACAATACTGTACAAAACACCTGGGCCCTATTCAGAAATGGACACAATACAATACATGTAATAAACTATTAGACAAAAAAATCAAA